GCAAGTTAACTGTGGAAAGTAGGAGGCATGCTTTGAAGCTCATCGGTCCACGTTGGTTCCCATATTCCAGAAAATACTTCAAAGCAAGAGGGTTCATGGTGAGAAAAGGGGATTATTTCTGTTTTCAAGTCCGCACGCATAGATAGAAGGTCACTGTTGTTCTCTTGTATACCCTCGACTCGGGTTTTGGTGTGGCAAATATTTCTGGACTTTAGTATTCTCTATCTTGCTGGACCTTTTAGAATCCGGCCCCAGTAGAGTTCCCACGTGTATTCAGTGGCTAAGCTGCAGGGGGGCGATGCGGCCTGTCACTCAAGAGTCGCTGAGAGGGAATCCCAGCGCTAGGTTCCAAATCTTTTCCATAGTGAGGCAGTTCAGTCATCCACCTCATTGTTTCCACATGCTTGGTGTCGGCCTTCCCCAGAACAAAGCGGACTTAGCATCCTACCTGGCGCTGGGCACCCGGCATTTTCTGACCCCTCTCTGTCTCAGCCTTTTCCAAGTCGTCTGCTTAATCTTTGGTTGGCAGAAGTTCGGTCAAGCTCCATTTCCACACCACAGTGTTTACAGGAAGCAAAGACAGACCTCTTCTCCTGCGCTCCCACGAGACTAGGTTGGTTCAAGCTTGGGGACATTCTTCTTTCTTCCTTGTTGCCACAAACTCAACTCCTTTTATTAAAATTCACTTAAACCCAATCTCCTCCGGATTCAGCCCAAACAGGGCCCGCTCTTTGGGCGAAGTGTAGTCATTGAAGTCATCTGGACAATTCAAGCAAACGCATTTTAGAGAGGCTGTGGCCTGAAACACACACACAATTCCCTCATTCTCTCTGCCCATCTTTTGGCGAGCATAGAAAGTGGCTTTCCGCGGGTACGCTGGAGTACCGCAACGTTTGACATTAATATGTTTGGAGCAGAGCCGTTATCATCCTTTCCCGATCACTGAATGTAAGTACATTAACCGAGGTTTCATTTGCCCTCCTTCCCTGAATTCAGTGGCTCTTCCTTTAACTTAACACAGAAGTAGCAAAACACGCTTGGCGTTTCTTCTTCCAGGGTTAAACCGAGGGCGGGGAAGTCAAGTGGACAGCGCAAACTCCACAAATGAAGCTAAAAACAGTAACTTGAAAACAGAGGAGGGTTGTATGAGGCTCAAAGTCAAGGGGTTCTTCGCCTTTCTTACTCCTACCCCTTTAGCAATCTTAGAATTTGCCAGCTTTTATTTTTCAATTAAAATGCAAATTATTTGCTTTCGAACCGGTGTATGTACGTGCGCGTGTACACACAGAGTGTAGAGATGCTTGGGACATTGCTAACATGAGTCATTTGTTCCTCTCCTGGTTTTGGGGAGCGTGGTACTTCGAAAAGTCCCACTTTGTTAGGTAGTGGGCAGGAGAGCTGGGAGGTCCCGGAGGTCCCAAGGGAGAACAAGTGGTGACTCCCAAGAGCATTTCAAAGCAGTCTGCCCCACCAGAAACAGGCCTCCCACATCCGCATCAGCTGGCCCTCGGTCCTGAAGGTGGTTTTAAACCCACAGTTGCAGTCGAGAGCAGGGCGATCTCTCTCTCTCCCCAGTGACTGGGGCAGCCCTCTCCCTCCCAGGACCCTTCCTCATTTTTCCCGCTCCCAGCTGGGGACAGACCAAGACGGAACCAGGATATCCGCCACCTGGCAACAGGCACCCGCCTTCCTTGAGCCACATACAGTTTGCGCCTGGAATCCACGCTGCCAGCGGGGTACTGAGTCACCGGGTTCACCCCGCAGGGATCGAGGTACACAGACTCCAGAATGTTGTATTGCTATAATGAAGAACAATACTATTTTAGTTCTACAATATGAGAAATACATAAAAGCGAAGGAGACTTTGTACACCCAGCTGTGCAACTACCTGTACTGATGATGGCAGTCAATTTGGAGTTGGTCGAGTTGAAAATTCTCTCTCTCTCTCTCTCTCTCTCTCTCTCTCTCTCTCTCTTCTCCTTCTCTCTCTCCTCTTTCACACCCCTTCCCCGGTATGTGATACTAAATTCGCAGTAGAAAAATACTCAACTCTATCCCTGTTACAATATTTACTTAAGACAAAAGGGGAGGAGTCGCTTTTTGATATTTTCTGGGATCACCAGCCTCTTCTCTCAATTCCTACCTAGTCCTTGAGAATGCAGTGTCCTGAAGGACGAGAGAAAGTCGCTGGAGGCCCAGGCGCAGAGTCCAGGCAGGAGGTTGTGTGCCAAGGCTGAAATAGTGTGTCCGGAGGCGGAAAGAACTTTCGTTTGTAAGGAAGCAAGTTATATAGGAGGTCTAGGCTGTAGCATAATTCACACTGGTGAAGTGCTTCACCTTCTCCTAGGTCCGATCCTAAAGTCTATGATTAAATCAAGTCTCAAAGTTAAAAAAGAAGGGCGGACAAGGAAGAAGAACAAAAAGAATCCCTTCTGTCTTAGAAGCGAATAGAAATGGCAAAGGATAAACAACTCCTCTTTCTTAGCCCCAAATTTCAAACTCAACCTCAAACTGACACCCTTAAAAGACCAGCGTTTTGGAAAGGAAGGTTATTGGAGGGGAGGAAGCCGTCCGACTTTTCCTGCCTGCATCAGTTGAAGCGCTTTGACACTTAGAGTCAAACGCCATCCATCCTTGGCACTGCTTAAGTTTCAACCTCTGTTTTCTGCGCATTTAGTTTGGACTTCGTGATCGCATCCAATTTTTTGTCCTAACCACCTTCCAATGCTGGGTGACTTTAACAACCTGAATTCTCAAAATTCTCCCGAGGGTTTCTCTCCTGAGAGAGATTTTCTCTCTCAAATCTCCTGAGGGAGAATCTCAGGAGAGAAACCCTGCCAGAAACTTAAAGATTGGCCAGAGATCGAGAGATTAAGAGGAGTAACAAAAACCACAATTCATCTCCTAAACCCTGGACAGCCCATCACCACAGTCCAGAAGCCGGGACATCTCCAGCTTCAACCATAAACTCAGGGCCAGAGTTTCAACAGGGTTCTCAAAAGCTTACAGCCCCAGGACGGTACCCAGGGAATTTGTATCTAAAGTCTCCCCTAGAATTTTGGTGATTCTGTCCCCAGTAAATGCAAACAAATAATAACCAAAAGGGAAAAAGTTTTTTTTTTTAAAACTCATTGCTCTTAGGTCTAAATATCATATGAGTGCTAAATAGTCCCATTAAATTGATTCCGTTCCCAGCGAATTGAACAAACCCATAAATGATCATCACGAGGGGACCCCGGAATGGAAAGAAAAATGGAGAAAGAACAGAGAAGGAAAGCAGGACGAGGAAAGATGGAAGAGGACGATCCTTCGGCCTACGAGGGGATTAAAGACATCTATAGGCTTAAGAAGCAACAAATTAATTTACACAGTTCTGGAAGAGCCCAGATGTCCTTTAATTAATCCCTTCAAAAGAAACAGCCAGGCCAGGGCTGCACCGGCTGCCTGCTCCATTAGCTCCATTTTACAAGGGTCCAGACTCGGTTCGAGGTGAGCGCGGAGAACCGGTGGGGGGAGAAGGGAGGATGACGTGAGCTGGCGAGGGGGGAAGCAAGGGAGGAATATGAACTGCTTTTCCATAAAAGGGCTGGATTTTCATTATTCTTCTCTTTAAAAAGTAATACTCGCTTCGTCTCTGCTTCCTCCCCCTTCTTCCCATTTTGTTTAACACAATTAATTGAGGAGGCCACTGGTCCCAGATCAGAATCGCTCCACTTGCAGGTCCCGCCCCTCCTGGCTCCGCCCACAAGATGAAGAAGGTGGGGAAGGGAGGGGACTAGGCAGGCGCGGTCCTACGACTCGCTAGCCTCAGCCAATCAGAGGACGTGGCGCTCCCGAGTGGGCGTGCCCCAGAAGCGACGTGAGCCTCGAAGCTGCGCGCTATTGGAGGCGGTGGTTACGCCCCTGGCCTTCGTTCCCCCTCCTCGGCCCCGCCCCACACAGCCCACTCGGAGTGATGTCCCTCCAAGTTCTCATTTTGGTCCCTCACTTCCCCCTCCCCTCCGTCCCCCTGCTAAAGAGCGGTAGGGAGTGATGCAAATGTTTTATTACCTTTGAGAGCTTCATCCGAACTGTCAGGCCCGGAGGGAGAGAGGAGAGAGTGGAAGAGCCGTGGAGAGGGTCAGTGTGGCCACAGGACAGGGCATAGAAGAGCGAAGCCTGTAAAGCCGCGAAGATAATGCGAGAGAGAAGAGTCAAAGGCGGAGAGTGAGAGGAAGAGAGGGCGCTGGGGGGTGGGGCGGGGGTCTCCAGGCCTGTTTGCTGAAGTGGACGGACGAGCGCAGCGCTAACCGAACCGTCCGACTTTCCACACTTAGTCTTTGTTTTTCTGTGTTTTCCCCTCCCCCCTTTTCTTTTCAATATCGCAACTCTAGTGCCCCGTGGCCCAGAGGGGAAGGCGGGTCGGCGCGCCGAATCCCGGAGCCGCGGGGAGTGGTGGCACTGCCCTTTCTGGCGCAGCAGCCCCGGGGCAGCGCCGGCCGAGGGAGCCCGCCCGAGACGAGGTCCTCCCGCGGGCTGGATGCGCTCTCCCCGCGCGCCGCGAGCGCCGGGTGCGAATCAGCCGCGCGGCCCAAAGAGCAGAGCATCCGAGTGGGATTAGCCGAGCGCCACGGGCGGACCCCGGCGTCCTTTGAACCTCCCCAAAGAAAGCAAGCTAGCCCCCACCCTCTTACACCAAAGTGGAGATTCGGTGACTCGTAACTTTGTTACAAACTCTCGGGGACCCGCCTGGGTTTTGTTTTGCTCATTTCCCGGGGGGAAATGTACTTTGAAGTAGCGCACTTTGAGCGGTGAGGAAGACACGCGAGCCGGGGATTGAATCCAGGACTCCCGGAACGAAAGGACAGCTGGACCCCCGCCGGACGCCAGCTTGTCTCCACCAGCCCTCGCCGCCCGCGTGGCGAGTTTGGACTTTTCTGCTGCGCAGCTAGGAGAGCAACTCCCGGCGCCGGCGTTCTTGGCCGAGTTGGCAGATTGCCTCCGGGGGTCCGAAGCGACATCTCGCTTGCGCCCTCGGCGCTACCGGCTCTCCTGAGCCCGGGCGGGGGCACCGGCCGGCGCCTTTGCCGCGCGGCTGCGGGCTCCGGCCTGGCCGTGGGATGTTAGCGGTAGGGGCGATGGAGGGCACCCGGCAGAGCGCGTTCCTGCTCAGCAGCCCGCCCCTGGCCGCCCTGCACAGCATGGCCGAGATGAAGACCCCGCTGTACCCCGCCGCCTACCCCCCGCTGCCCGCCGGGCCCCCCTCTTCCTCGTCCTCGTCTTCCTCGTCCTCCTCGCCCTCCCCGCCTTTGGGCGCCCACAACCCAGGTGGCCTGAAGCCCCCGGCCGCGGGGGGACTCTCGTCCCTGAGCAGCCCCCCGCAGCAACTCTCGGCCGCCACCCCACACGGCATCAACGACATCCTGAGCCGGCCCTCCATGCCGGTGGCCTCGGGGGCCGCCCTGCCTTCAGCCTCGCCCTCTGGTTCCTCCTCCTCCTCTTCCTCGTCCGCCTCTGCTTCCTCGGCCTCTGCTGCCGCGGCCGCTGCGGCTGCAGCTGCGGCCGCCGCCTCTTCCCCAGCGGGGCTGCTGGCCGGCCTGCCCCGCTTCAGCAGCTTGAGCCCGCCGCCGCCGCCGCCAGGGCTCTACTTCAGTCCCAGCGCCGCGGCCGTGGCCGCCGTGGGCCGCTACCCCAAACCACTGGCCGAGCTGCCCGGCCGGACGCCCATCTTCTGGCCCGGAGTGATGCAGAGCCCGCCTTGGAGGGACGCACGCCTGGCCTGCACCCCTCGTGAGTACGATCGCCCGCGGCTGGGTCCCTGAGCTTTGTGCTAGTTCCGCCTGCTCTTGGGTCACGGCCCTCTGGTGTGCCTGCCGGTCGGTCCACCCTCTTGCCCGCCTCGGTAGTTTGGCTACCAGAATCACACGATCTAGTCTGGCCAGAGATTTTCGTTTTCCTGAGCTCGTGTGCTTTGCCCAAGCTCCTCACTGTTGTCAAGGCATGGATGGGCACGCCTGGCCTGAGCCGGCGTGCGTGTGTTTGTGTGCAACACAACCCGGTGCGAGATGTGCCCAGCTGGGACCACAGGCCTGCCCTGGGTTAGAGAGATGGGAGGAGGGAAAGGTCACTGCGCCCCTCCTCGCACCACGGCTTTTCCAGCTCCTTCCTGCCAGCCGGGGCCCCAATTTGTTTCCGCCTGCCTGACCGGTGCCTCTCTGCAAATCGTTCTTAGGCAGAGGCAGGTCTCCCTTGCCCAGAGCAAGTGTGAGTATTCTCATGCACCTCTTTTCCCTGGACGTCCACACCTCACCTTTCTGCCTTCGCACCCCAATACACTCTGCCACCGTGAGCCCATACAAGTCAGGCCTGCAGTTCCCAGAGCGGGGTGCGCGCAGAGGCGCTTTGGGCCGCTCCATCTGCTGGGCCCGCGCTCGCATAGGCTTCGACTCTAGGGTTCAGGACAGGTTTGGGTCTCGGCACACTGAGGGGCAGTCACGGCGCTCGTCCTCTTAACACAAGAAAGAGTGAGTGGAAGAGCGAGGTGAAGGGACACAGGCCAAGAGCACTGTAATATCCCGCAAAGACTTTGCCAGAGACAACTGAGTGGCTTCAAGATCTCGCTAGTCTTTTGGGGAATTGGCTACCGCTCGGCAGAGGCTACCAGCCCCCAGGTGGCGTTCAGGATCCAGTCTGGAGTCCTTTTCTCACTCTGTTCTTTGCTTTTGACGGAATCCCCGAAGTTTCTCCAGGCCTCTGGACCTCTTTTCTACAAGGCTTAGCGCAGTACCGCAGGAAGTTCCCGGAGCAAAGTGAAGGCTCCCTCCAGCATCTTCAGGACGGAGGGTGGCGGGGCTGTTGAGGTGTCAGAGAGACACTATTGTATCCGTTTTTGATGGCTGTGTAGGGGCCGCCAACAAAGGCGGTGCCCCCTCTCCTCCCCTCTCCCCGTCCTGCCTCAGCGGCATTAGAGTTGGAGGCGATTTAGCACTCTTGTGTGCAAAAACAAGGAGCCCTTTGTTGCCCGGACACAGGTTAGGGAAGCATTCTAGGAAAGCAAAGCAAAGCAAAAAACAAAACTCTAGATATCCTCACGCAAAAGCGCACCGACTGGATCTGGGAGGCGAACGTGGCCTTTTTCCCCGTACTGTTTAATTTTGCGAGGCTCAGTGATTCTGCCTGGCAAAATCCAACAAGTAGGCTCCCTAGCTGTTTGACATTGGTGTTGCGCAGAAGGTATTTACAGCTGCTCCAGATACACAGACTTTAAAAAAAAAGAAAGAAAGAAAGAAAGAAAGAAAAAAAAACCAAGTGGGTGTAAAAAAGCGAAACGTGGGGCTGGGAGCGGCGCGACACATCTGGCGAAAGTCACAGCCTAAGCTTTCGTTTCCCTACCAAAACACTGTTTCTCGAATTCGGTACTTCCCTCCCTCCATCCCACCCCCCCCACACCACCGGTGGAGCTGATTGTTTTCTCTCACCCCTCCTTTATCGGTTCTTCCAGATCAAGGATCCATTTTGCTGGACAAAGACGGGAAGAGGAAACACACAAGACCCACGTTCTCCGGCCAGCAAATCTTCGCCCTGGAGAAGACTTTCGAACAAACGAAATACTTGGCGGGGCCGGAGAGAGCTCGCTTGGCCTATTCTTTGGGAATGACGGAGAGTCAGGTCAAGGTGAGTGGACCTTAGAAACCTCCAGGGATAGGCCTGGTGCCTGTAGTGTGCGCCCCCCCACCCCCAATAAACTGCTGGCCCAGGACCTGGGGGAAAAGTTGAGAGTGCCAAAAAGGGTTGGTGGGGGGGGGGTTCTAATGCTCTGGGGTCTTACGGGAAGGCAAACTGTTGATGAACAAAGGGAATCAACCCCCCCGCCTTTGAAATTAGGTTAATCTAGATAGCAGCATGTGCTGGGGGGACTTGTCATTGTTAGAGAATAAAAAGCATTACAGAAGTACCAGCCCGAGAATAGATCGGGCCGGTTAGATAGTTTGTATTTATTCTGTTTGCAAAGACGTTCAAGCTTTTGTTTGTCAATTCAGACTCTACTAGCTATATAATTTCCTAATGTAGATTAGCACTTTATTCCTTCTATATTAGCTTGCTTCTATATTAACTTAGATTATTAAAAAATAAATCCATAGGATCTACCACTTAACAAGGATAAACCTGCTTTTAACTTAGATAAAGGCAATCATTTTGGAATAGTAATTTTACAAATGAAATAATAAGATTATTATAGGATTGAATTCTGTTTGAAACAAGTATATCAACAGACTTAAGCTATTTCAATTTATGACAATTTCTAATTAAAACGTCATGTTGCTCATAATTGAGTTGTACAGTGCATTTCTAGGGAATCAATTTTTAGAAATCTTTCCCTGAAAATTAAAAGTATTGAGCCAGATGGGTAAATTCAATCTGGTTTCTTGTATCTTCAGTATTCTGTTTTGTCCCCTCCTTTTTTTTTTTTTTCAGTTTGTTATACTTGTTTCTTTGGGGGTGATGTCTGTTCTCATTAGTTATACTGTTGGTCTTTAAATTAAGTAGGAATAACATTAACCACGTCTGCTAGTTAAAGTATATTTCCCCGAGGACAAACATCATAAAATACATTTCAGGAGTGGTTTTGCATGCGGCCAATAGAATACCATCACATTTAAAATTATTTTTGCAGTGGGCTGGTACAGTGTCTACCATGGTAATCTGGAGGTCTTCATTTTTACACACATAAATATGTCCGTATGGTAGAATTGGATTAGTATAGCCATATAAAGAAGATCAAAATCACTTTCTTAAAAATTCTGATTCTCTAGATAAAATACATAACGGATGAGAGCATAAAAAGGATAGTTCAATATCATAAGAAAGTTGGTTGCTTATTGGTCATGCCTTAGGTTAAAATACGTGCATCAAACACGTGTCAAACGTCATGATAGGCTTAAAATATTTGTATACAAAATGAATGTCTTGAGCAGGAGAAATGTAAAAATACTATTTGAAAGAATAGGCATGATAATAGAAAATAATGTAACTGGCAAAATTTCGCTTTTTAAAAAATAATTGAAGAAAATTCTCCTTTTAACTTTGGTTTTATGGAAAACATTGAGGGCACAGGAAGAAAGGAAAAAGAGCACCAAACTACTTTGATGATTTTGACTGAGCTATTAAATATTTGCATACATTTTGGCGTTGTGAGTGAGTTGAGGTTTGTATTTCAGCAAAAAACTTTACATCATACATTTTAAGTGTAGTGGGAGGCAATTTATCTCTGACGCCTGTGTAGCTTCAGGCTTGAATTAAGTGAAACAATCCAACGTCCAAAAATAGAAAGAACAGAGATGATTGGGTAAATGTTGTGCTTTTCCCCACTATTCATATTAAAGAGGAAGTCCGCTTGAGTTGTTTGAAATCCCTTAATCTAAAAAGGTGAATGAGGAATAAAATCACAGTCACTATGGGGAAACTTTAGAGGGAGAAAATTCTCTACTTCAAACTAGAAGATAGGAAAGCAAACTCATTTTTAGGAAAATCATTTGAAGTTTCCAAGTTTTGTCTTTAGTCTTTCTGAGAACTTAATACCCTTGTGTCACTATCGCTATGGCAACGGCAGTCAGCGTGTTGGTGCCTCTTACTCAGAGGAACCTGGGGCAATGGAGAATGGCTCTGATGGCCCAGACCCGGGAGGTCTCTGAGGAAGGGTGGCAGGGCTTCAGGGCCCCCCTCCCCCCTCCAGGGACGTGGAGCCCAGGGAGTGGTCGCCCGGCCTGGACCTCCTTGTTTGAAGTTCCTCCCTCCGCTGTCCCCCTCTCTTCCCCTTTCTTGGCCCTCAGGTTTGGTTCCAGAACCGCCGGACCAAGTGGAGGAAGAAGCACGCGGCCGAGATGGCCACGGCCAAGAAGAAGCAGGACTCGGAGACGGAGCGGCTCAAGGGGACCTCGGAGAATGAAGAGGAGGACGACGACTACAACAAGCCTCTGGACCCCAACTCGGACGACGAGAAAATCACGCAGCTGCTGAAGAAGCACAAATCCGGCGGCGGCGGCGGCGGCCTCCTGCTGCACGCGTCGGAGACCGAGGGCTCATCCTGAGCGCCCGCCGGCGGGACGCGGGGACGCGGGGACGCGGGGACGCGGGGACCGCTCGCCCGTCCGCCGTCCCGTTCGCGCTCGGGCCCGAGGACCCGGCCCGTCCGGGGGCCCTGACTGTTTTCTGAGATGTACCTATCTATTTTTTTAAGCAAGAAGTGGTGGCAGGGACAGGCGTGGGAGCGGGACCCGGGCCGAGGAGGAGGCAAACAAGGCCACGAAACGCGCCGCGTAGACCGCGCGACTGAAGCCCCAGCCCCGCGCACCGCAGCCCCAGGGTCTCCCGGAGCCTTCCTGGTCGGCGGGCCCCCGGCCCCCACACTTCCTTGCTTTTTGCCCCAGCTGCAGTCGGGGCTGGTCTCCGGGGAATGCGTTGAAGGTTTGACCGGCACCGTGTTGGGGACCTCGGAGCCCGGAGGGCGGGTGTCAGTCACAGAAGGGAAAAGAGAGACGTCCTCCCCCATACACTGCTGTGCCCCCTAAAGTTACCTGTTGAAAGCTCTGTGTAAATAAATCGTGAGTCACACTGACTAGAAGTTACTTTATTGTGAATATTTAAAATGTAAAATGCTTTTTTGAATTTGGTATAAAAGCTGGACCTCCTCCTTTCTTCCACCCCTCCCCTTTTAAGAGCTACTCACACCCCAACTCCCCCCTTTATTTTAAACTTGGGAATCCTAGAACAGAATGTTACCAGCCTCCCTTGACCCCTTGCCCCATTCCACTTCCAGTCTGGATGCGCTGAACCTCAGTTTCCCCTTCCAGCCCTTCTTGCCCAGTCCTGTTTCCCCCCAACACACATCGCCCGCCCCCGGCCCCGCCCCCAGGACTTAGAGCAGAAGACGAGGGAACCTCGGAGGCCCTCACACCTGCCTCCCCGTTCCCCGCTGAAATTGCACAGTCGTTTGTTGCTATTTATTAGTGATTTAAAGAAAGTATTGGGAGGGAGGGGCTACAATAGCTTGTATTTAATTTAACTCCTTTCTGATAAAAATGAGTGTTAAAGTAGATGGTGGGAATTGGTACAACCGCTCTGGGTCACAACATAAAAATCCATTTAGTCGCTGTAATTGAATTTGAAGTGTTTTGTATCATAAAGAATACTATAGACTATGTACATTGTTTTCTTTTTTAAGCTAATAACAGTGATATATTAGCATCTTTAACCTTTATTAATTTATATGAGGAATTCGGTTTGTAAAGAGAAGAAAAACCCCCTTTGCAAGACCAGTTAAATGTAATGCACTTTCTGTTTCAAAGGATAAATCAAATTAAAAATCAGTTTGAAGACGTCTGTTGCCTTGAATGAAAGGGTGCAGATCATCTGATCTCATCAGAGATCTCAAATAATAAAAGTCAAGACCACAAGAATGTTATATTGGTTTCTTGGTTGAAACAGCTGCATTATTATTATTATTATTATTATTATTATTAGGAGGAGGAGGAGGAGCAGGGGTACATCTCTCATCCTCCTGGGTTGGGAATATAAAAGAAAACCCGCTCACTAATAGTGCTTCTTGGAGAGACTTGTCTAGCGGGTGGCTTCTGATGTCTGTGTTGTCTAATTTTTTCCTGATCGCTTTTTCCTCCCAGGATGTCCCTGGGGAGTTTGGGAAGACCTCATTTCCATATATCCAAGATAGCTCCTCACCAGCCCCCAGCTCCACCAGCTTCCAGCAGTGGGCAGCGAGATCCTTGTGCGGACCCTACTGCTTGACTGTGAGCATATTTCCTCTGCTTGCCTGTAAGACTGCAGAAATTTGCGCAAGGACAGGAGCCCTGGTTTTGCTGAACATTACAATGAAGAAGTTAGAGAAAGCTGCCTTTAACTGTCGTGGAAATCTTTAGGGTTAAAGAACTGGCAAATTTTTTTTTTGAATTCCAGGGAGAGGGCTGTATCACTGTCTTGGGACCTTTTTGTTTTCAGACACTAAGTTATAGGCTCAGTGAAATATCGTTATCTCCTTAGTGTTGTAGGTTAATGAGCTTGTGTTCAGAGAGAGGAAAATCGATAGAATTCAGCAGATTCTTCAGGCTAACGTGAGGTCAAGAAATTGTGGGTCTGTTTTGTTTCCTAGAAAACAAAAAACATCTTTTTTTTTTACAAGTTCAACAAAATGAAATTGCTAAAGGAAATTATTGTAGAATATATTTCTGATAACATGGCTTATTGAAAGAAAGGATGAAAATCTTCCCTCTGTCTTTTCTCCAGTTTGCAAAGTTTTCAAGAAGTTTCAACTCCTCTGAATGTCTGTCTTCTTGGCAAGACTAAGGTATGTGTCCTAAAGAGAGGCAGCTAAAGGCTTTGCTGTGCTGGAATGATGTCATTTCAATCTCAGCTGTAAACAATATGAACATTCCTACTTTCCTTTTCTTTCTCTATTTCATTCTTCTCTCCTTTTATCTCTTCCCTCTATCTACCTCTTTCCCTTCCTTTTCCTCTCCTTTCCTCTCCTCATCTTTCCTTTCTCTCTTTTTTCTTTTTTATGAAAGGACTGGGGTGAGGGGACAAGGACGATCCCATTATCTTACAGCTGCAGTGTGTTGCAACAAATTAAAAAAAAAACACAAAAAACCTCTTTTCTACTTTACTCTTTATAACTTTGCCCACCCCTCTTCTCTCTTGAAAACCAAATAAACTTTTTATTTATTCTTTGTTTCTTCCTAAGAAAACAAAAATTCACATTATAATTAGAAACATTCCAAGATGATGATGACGGTGATGATGACTACAAGCAGCAGTGGTGGTGACATAATAGTAGTAGTCACAGACATCTTGGAACTGAGGTTGAAGCTTTTTCTCAAGAAGTAAATAGGTTGGTAGATAATCACTTTTATTGCAGGTTAGAAGTGTGGAGAGACATCTCTCCCAAATCCTTTAGGAAGCACTCATTCCTTTTGAGTTCTTCACCTTTAAATCTGACCATCTGAGAAATGTACAAACCTGCATCCCAGACTCCACTGCACAGATAAATGTGTGGAGGGCAGAAAGGTCTGCTCACTTGCCAGCCTGAGTGCTGATGTGCTGGGAGATGAGGGGCAGCAGCCAGAGGGGGCCCTGGGGTGGATGCACTGGCATCTGATCCTTTTTTCCAGCTGACTGCAGCAGTGACTTGAGGTTTCCAGTTAATTTACTTCCATCCAGGACTCCAGCTGGCCACCAGTTGCAACTGGTCCCATAAAACTGGGAGTGAGAGAGAAGGGGGTAGGAGTAACTCCCCTAATTTCCTTTGTCTGGGTCGGTTTGGTTTTACTGTATGCATGTGTGAAAAGAACAGTTTTTCATAACTAGCATGGTGGGAAGCCGAGGATAACACTTTTTAGCTCAAGCAACGAACGGAAAGAATCATTTTCCCATCTTAGTTCAGCCACTTTGTGGCATTAACTACCGTAAGCATCTGATTAAGGATGCCAACTGGTCATTAGAGCTAAAGGGCTGGTGACTTAAAACAAAAAGAGTCACAGCAAGTGACTTGACAGACCACTGCTTTTGTGAATGCTTATAGGCAACAAAGTGTCAATAGCAGAGGACAAAAAGAGAAAAATAAGGTTTTGTGTGTGTGATGAGGGGAGGGTAGAGCTGCTTTTTTGACTTTTGTTGTGTGTGTATTTCTTTTCCTAAAAAGGAGAAATCCAGGAGGCTGCTTGAGGGATACAGGGTGGAAGGGAAAGGCCCTGGACCTCTCAGATGTCCCTGCCACATTCCCAGTTCCTACGCAGGTCTCTAAAGTCCAAGCTCAATTCTCCCATGTGGTGATTAATTTTCTCACTGGTTCACATTCAGATTCTGTAACGCAAAGCTCTGTGCCTTCCAGAAGCTGTGGTGTACTGAACGTGTTTTTTCCGCTTCTCTGCTTGAGAGACAGTGGGGCGAGGGAGAGCCGAAAATCACTCCTTTGCTGGAGTTTTCTTAATCCTCAGTGGGCAGGGGCAGGCAGTCTGTTCTGGATGCCTGCTCTTCACAGAAATGCTGTACTACTTATCAGAGACTGAAGTTGCATTTGAAACCTTCTGGAGTCTAATATCATGTAGATGGGTTTGTTATTAAACCAGCATCAACACGGGGATATCCATACTGTCTTGCCCTTTAAGCTGGTGATTGGAGGGGACACACACACACACACACACACACACACACACACACATGCACACACAGAGTGAAATTCCACTTTGGAACTCCTAGTGCTGAATAGCTTCAAGAAACAGTGGCTCCTTTGTTAATCATTGACAATAGGATTGCGTAATAACAACAGAGGTAAGTGGTAGATTTCGTCTATAAATTCTAGGCTGATTTGAACAGCTTTCTCTGTATTAAATTTCCTCCCTCTTACCACACAGAGACATGCAAAAAGCGCTGTTCTTCCCTCATCAATATGACTTTTTATTTTTAAGACAATTCTTCAGTGATTTCCTTTTTTGGTGGAAAAGTGCATTTTGTTCTGTAGCCATAGATGACTAACTTTAGAGAGAAATGCATTCTAGCTAATATAGCTTTTCCTTACCCCCTTCCTCTCCTCCCTCTCTCCCTCCCTCCCTTCCTCCCTCCCTCCCTTTTTCCCTCCCTCCCTTCCTTCCTCCCTCCCTTCCTTCCTCCCTCCCTTCCTTCCTCCCTCCCTTCCTTCCTTTGTCTTGGTATGTAGCACATGCTGGCCTTGACTCTTGATCCTTCTGCCTCAGCCTCCTGAGTGCTTGGGATTACATGCCCAGTTAGCCCCTCTTAAAATCTGTAGAAAATATAGTAATATAACCCCCTTATTTAAATGTTGACTGAGGAGTAGTGATGGTGTAAGCGGGATGCAGAAGGATATGGGGTATTTTCCTGAAATTTGGCCTTCAGCATTTCATAGATTGGTTTAGAGTCATTGTACCAACTGAAAAGTTTACCTGGGCACTTGAGTTCACTTTCTCATCTTCCTTTTCCATCATCATCAGTCACCTACAGATGAAATGTCTAGGTGCACATCCTGAAATAGGCGTTTCTATTGAATACCACACTCACTTGAAGACTTAAAAAGTAGGGT